GACTACCTACTCTACATAAAGTGCAAACTATTTTTCTTTAAATGATCAAAACTATATGATAACTAATTAGATGTGATAATTGGAAATTACTATCTAAAGAACTTGTTCATATCTATTTCTAATAATTACGATACATGTTGCTTTTATACAAATCCAAGATATAGTTTTTAGACTATATGAATTTATGTTCGCTATATCACTTAAATTCTATTGGTTCAATATTTATTTGCTCATTTGTTCACTTGTTCATTTAGTTATTCATTTGTTTGCTTATTCACTTGTTTGCTCACTTCACGTAATTTGATCTTTATCCAATAAGATATGAGATATGTATAATCTAATAATATAAAATATTATGATGAAAGATCATTATACAACAGTATAATTTAAATGTAATAAGTATTATTAAGTATTATTTAAAAAAATTATTGATAATTTTAATAATAAATACTATTTTAAAAAATTAATAATAATAAATATTATTTTAAGAAATTAATAAAAATAAATACTATTTTAGTATTAAATATAAATAAATAATTGAATAAATAATATATATTATAATATTATTATAACTAAATTTAATTATATTATTATTTATTAATTATTTTTAGATTTATATTACTGAATACTTTTTTATTTAGAATTTTTAAATAATATTTGATCATTATCTTACAGTTAATTTATTTTTTTAATAAATATTGATTTTTAGAGGAAGAATAAATTTTTTGCTATTTTTGTATTATTAAGTGCTATTTTTAAAAGAAATATATTAATTTTCTTAAATTTTTTTCATTAAATATTGTTTTTTGAACAAGAAATTAATTTTTTAAGTTTTCTTATAATTTTTTATTAAATATTATTTTCTGAAAAAGTTAATTTCTTAATGGTCAAGTTTTTAGACTTTAGTTTTCTTATAATTCTTTATACTTATCAAAAAATAATAAATATTTATTTTTGTATTATAGATTTTGAACATTTATTTTCTGCATTTGTTGAATATTCCAATTTTAAAAGTTATAGTAATCAAGATTTTTTATATAATAACTCTAAAACTGTTAGTGATATTTCTAGTTTGAAAACATTTAGCACAAACACTTAAGTTATAAGCTAACACTGATCTGCAATATTTCAGTAACAAAAGATTATTTAATGTAAATAGTGCCCGTGTGGTTTTCCTACAAGCTATAGTCACGTGGAAAAAATTTAGAAAATATCGTTCGATCTAAATTTTATTTAAATAATGGCATCTTTCCATACAGTGCAGCGAGAGACTCTATTCAAGAACCCAAGCTCGACTAGCTTCGGAGTGCCAGCTTTACAAAAAATTACGGCGCCTCACATCGAATCCTTTAATGCTTTGTTTGCTTCTAAAGGAGGAATTCTACAAACGGCCATTAACGATTTACAAGCAACATATGTATATGACAATCCCGAAGGGACGGGGACGTCGAAAGTCAATGTCTTGAAATGTACGCTTCCAAAATAATCAAATTAAATAATAATATAATTAATTAAGTTGATCTTTAATTAAGTTTGGATCGATGATATAACAATTCATCGACCAATGATACCCGAAAATAATGTATATGCTCGAGAAAAAAAATTGTTTCCATCCGAGGTATTACGGTTGATTTTTTATTTTGTTTAATAACTTTAATAGTGTCATATTTGATCCTGAATTTATTATACAGTGCCGTGAAAGATTAATCACTTATCAAGGACGTACGGAAGTGCGTCTTAATTGGAAAATTAACGACGAAACCCCAGTTTCAGAAACTAAAGTTGTGGGAAACATACCAATTATGGTTAAAGTAATGCATCGCATCCTAATTTACATTGTACAAAAAAGAGAGTTTAGTTGAAGTGTTGTGTTTGTTTCAACCAATGAAATTCCATCATTGTATTCATATACGCATGAACATTCACTTACAACCAGACAATCAACTACTGCTCCTCCATTTCTACAGTCCGTTCGATGTAATATATCAGACTTTTACCCAAAAGATTTGATTTGTCATCACGAAGAAGCAGAAGAAATGGGCGGATATTTTATCATTAATGGGATCGAAAAAATTATTCGTCTTTTGCTGGTGCCGCGTCGTAATTATGTTATGGGGATCGTGCGACCATCGTTTCAAAAACGTGGAAAAGATTATACACAATATGCTACATCGATTCGATGTGCACGACCTGATCAAACGACACAAACTGTTAATGTGCATTATTTGAAGGACGGGAATTGTATGTTTAAGTTTTCATGGAGAAGACAAGAATATATGATTCCGGTTATGTTGATACTTAAAGTATGTATTTGTTTACGAGCCTGATTATTTATATTGTATATCTCGTTTTTTATATTGAAAAGTTTTTTCCCTTTCACTTTCAATAAAAAGGCTCTTGTAGATGTTTCAGATAAAACCATTTTTGATCACTTAGTGCAAAATGAAACATCAAATACGTTTTTGACAGATCGAGTAGAACTCTTGCTTCGGTCTACCAAAACTCGTAATCTTATAGATCGGGAGGATTATCTGAAAGTTCTGGGAGAAAAATTTCGTATAGTGTTCAATTCATTACGATCATTCTCTGATGCAAAGATTGGAGATTTTCTCTTGGATAGAATTGTGTTGGTACATCTCAAAAGCAACCAAGAAAAATATGATTTGTTAATGTAAGCTCATATTTAATTATAGGGAAGAATGCAAAAATATTTATTAATTCATTAGCTTAATTTTTTTTTATAATATCAATCAGATTTATTATTCGTAAACTATATGCAATAGTTGCTGGCGAATGTTCTCCTGAAAATCCTGATTCTCCCGCAAACCAAGAAATACTGTTGAGTGGACATTTATATGGGATGTTAATCAAAGAGAAACTTCAAGAATATCTATATAATCTGCGTGATGAATTCTCCAAGCATTTTCGGCATTCCAAAAAGAACTCAGCCATGGATATTACTGATCGTATGATGAAATATAAAACAATTTTTATTTTTTATTAGTATTATGTGGGTTGCATACCTCTTGGAACTAAGTACTTCTATTTTTTAAATTTAGCAAATTATGTGACCCGAACTTTAAATAGAATGAAACATGAGACAGTTGGGCAAAAGATAACGCATTTTTTAGCAACCGGAAATCTTGTATCAATTAGTGGAATGGATTTGTTACAGGTTAGTTTTGATTTATTAAATAGATAATGTGGAATGATTAATAATTTTGGTGTTTTATTCTTAGGCAACTGGTTATACAATAGTGGCAGAAAAGCTTAATTTCTATCGCTATATTTCGCATTTTCGTTGTGTTCATCGTGGATCTTTCTTTACCGAGATGAAGACGACCACTATACGTAAACTTTTACCAGAAGCTTGGGGTTAGGATTCTTCTACATTCGTCATTCATTGTATACTTTTGTATTATATGTATTTACTTATACGTTTTTCCATTTACAATTTAAAGGTTTCATATGTCCAGTGCACACTCCGGATGGCGCCCCATGTGGTCTTCTAAATCACCTTTCTTCAAGCTGTCAAGTAATCACCTCTCCAACCAATACCTCGAAGTTATCCAGAATACTCTTCACTATTGGTGTACTTGATTTATCACATTCAGGAAAACTAAGCAAGAATCAAAAAATTGTGCATGTTCTTTTAGACGGACGTGTTGTTGGCATATGTTTACCTGATGTTGCTTTATCAATTGCAAATCAATTAAGGGTGTGGAAAATTCATGGAAACAATGATGTAATTATTTTGCGTAGACAATGTTATTTTATTTTATTTTATTGAATATTTATAACTTGGATTTTTATGATCAGATTCCAAAGCAACTTGAGATTGGATATGTGCCTCTTTCTAATGGAGGACTATTTTCTGGTCTTTATTTGTTCACGTCCCCTGCTCGGATGATGCGACCAGTCAAATACTTGGCGACTGGTGGAACTGATTTAATCGGTTCATTCGAACAGGTATGCTCGGTTATTATAACTGTCTAGTTATTATTTCAATGAGTTCCTGTAAGATTTCATATTTTCATTATAACCAGGTTTACATGAATATTGCTTGCTTGGATGAAGATATTATACCGGGAGTTACAACTCACAGAGAAATTTCTCCGACCAATGTGTTGAGTATCCTCGCAAATCTAACGCCATTTTCTGATCACAATCAAAGTCCCCGTAACATGTACCAATGTCAGGTTAATTGTCTTGGTTGTGCGTTCTCTTTCGATTCTTTTGTTATTATCAACATTGAAATTTAATTAAATCACTACAGATGGCTAAACAAACGATGGGCACTCCTTCAACAGCTCTAACGTACCGAACTGATAGCAAATTGTATCGATTGCAAACTGGACAAACTCCCATTGTGAGACCTGAAATTCACAATAAATATGGTTTAGATTCGTTTCTTAATGGAACTAATGCAATAGTAGCTGTTCTTTCGTATACTGGTATTTATTAAACTATTGTATCAAATGGCACATTTTCCTTTATCTGGTCTGGTTAATATTAATAATTTATTTCTAATTTATAGGATACGACATGGAAGACGCCATGATAATTAATAGGCAATCTCATCATCGTGGTTTTGCCTATGGGTTAATCTACAAATCAGAAGTTGTCAACCTTTCAGAGAAAACATTCAAATTCAAATCAAATATAACACGTCATTTTTTCCTCGGCGACGACGTAGGCGATGAAATAAGAACGATATTGGATAGTGATGGGCTTCCTTTTATTGGAGCCCGACTAACAGAAGGTGATCCATTTTATGCATTTTACGATGACACAAAGGGAGTAACTCGAGTGAAAAAATACAAAGGACCCGAAATTGCCTATGTCGATCAAGTTCGCTTGTTGGGAGATGATTACGGAGAATCAGAAGCACAAAAAGCACATATTAAATTGAGAATTCCTCGACCATCGATTATTGGGGATAAATTTTCTTCAAGACATGGTCAGAAAGGTGTATTGTCGCAATTATGGCCACAATATGACATGCCATTCACTGAGAGTGGAATGCAACCAGACATTATTATAAATCCACATGCGTTTCCTTCTCGTATGACAATTGGTATGTTTGTGGAAAGTTTAGCTGGGAAAGCTGGTGCATTACATGGTATTGCACAAGACGCGACCCCTTTCAGATTCAACGAAGAAAACGCCGCAATGGATTATTTTGGGAAACAGCTGCTTAGTGCCGGTTACAATTACCATGGAAATGAACCGATGTATAGTGGGATCACGGGAGAAGAATTTCACGCTGATATTTATATCGGAGTGGTATTTTATCAGAGATTGCGTCATATGGTGTCTGATAAGTGGCAAGTTCGGTCTACTGGTCCGGTGCATAATCTCACCTTGCAACCGATTGGCGGGCGAATACGACAAGGTGGTGTGAGGTTTGGTGAAATGGAACGTGATTCGCTGCTGGCACATGGAATGAGCTTTTGTCTACAAGATCGATTGATGAATTGTTCTGATTATTCACAGGTAAATTATTTATATCAACTATTTTGGAAGACATAATATGATGATGTCTTATATTTGATATTACTTTATTCATCAAAAATAGTGTTTGATATGTCAAAAATGTGGCTCAATATTCTCGCCTATATCATTACACCATCAAATTCAAAATCGAAAACGCACAAAACATCATGTGCGATGTTGTCTTTGCGATTCGTCAGATTATATTGTTCACATAAAAATACCATTTTCATTCAAGTATCTTGCAACTGAATTGATGTGCATGGGAGTTAAGATGATGCTGGAAGCAAAGCCATGATTTAGATAATGTCATTATTAGTTGTAATGAAATATTAAAGCTTTTTCGTCAGTATTTTTGATTTGGTTGGATCTGCAAGTTTGAATTGCTATACAGTGTTACTGTTTTAGTTGGCTTTTCGAAATGCTCGAAGATATTTATAATATTTGAAGAAGTATTCAAATGGTTTTAGAATGTCTTAATGTCAATTTAAATTATTAATTATACTTTAACTGAGTACATATTGTTACAAGTTTGTTCACTAATCAGTAAATTATCTTACAAACTTGAATCTGGATTGGAAGAGGGAATTAAACAAATAAACTAAATATTAAAAGAAAAGAGTGATATCTAAGTTTTATGCCAATTTCTACAGAAATTGTAATAGTTTAAATAAAAAATATAAGTATGTGAGAATTATAAAAGAGTAAAGATTAAAAGAAAAGAGGTAATATAATAATATAAAAGAAAAATAAATAGTAAAGGGAGTTTTTAAATACTAATTTTTTCTACTTGTGTAAAGCTTTTTAGAATTAGAATAATACAATTAGTAATAACAAAATAACAAAAACTCTTTCATTTTGTTTTTTTCATGAAAAAGAAATATCAAAATCAAATATAACAAAAATTCAAAATATCAAAATTCAATAAATTCATAATAATATTTTGTTAGATACAATACAATTCAAAGTTCATAATTCCAATAATAGCATTTTGTTTGATATAATATGATTCAAAGTTACTTGTACACAAGTTTTGATATATATAATTAAAAGTGAAAGAGATAAATATTATTTGATAAAAGATTTTTTGTAAATAAAGTTATAAAAGAAATTATAAATAAAATTATAAATAATATATTGCTAATAATATGTAATAATAAAGAATTTCTTCACTTTTAATATCAATAATTATATAAAAATATGGGAGAGAGTAAATTAAAATAAAATAAAATTTAGTAAAAACAAAGAAAGATATCTAATATCTGTACCAATTTCTATGAAAATTGTTAAATAATCTCATATATAAAGAAATAAAGAGTTTGAAAGAGATAAAATAATTAAAAAAAACTATACTGATCAATAAAATATTGATTATAGAACTATTATATTCACCTCTGTCAATATTAAAACAAAATAAATAGATATAATAAAAATATTAAAATACTAAAAAAATTACTTATTTAAAGTTACAGTACACAATTAATCAAAATAATAACAAAAATAACAAAATCAAATATCAATACTCAATAACAAATTAATTATTTTATAAAATATATTCTTAATATAATAATTATAAATAATTTCAATAGAAACTAACTTAAATTAACAAGCTTTAATATTTGATTTCAACTTATTTTTACCAATTATTTTGAATTAAATTCAAAAATAAAGAATAAATATAATATTCAATATAATAATTAATATTATAAATTAGATTATATTTATTAAGATTAGAAAAATATAAGATAGAGTATATTAAAATAATACTTATATTTATACAAAAATTTTGTTTTCTATTTATAGATATTGTTTTTATACAAAATTTGTTAATACAAACTAAGAGTATTCACCAAATCAGATTGATCTACATTAAAATTTATCATGTAATATAGTGTAATAAAGAGTATTATACCTATACTAGATAAAAATAAAAAAGAGTAGAAAAGAGTCAAAAGAGATATTATATAGGATATAAAAGGTCAAAAAGTATATAAAGATAAATATCAATATAAATTAATAAAATAAAACAAGTAATTCAATAAAAATAAAAGATAATTATATAATTATTTTTGAATTATTATTATTTTTTTAATATTTTTGAGATTTTTAATTTTTCTACTATTTTTGATACATTTTTTAATTAACAAATTTTTACTAAAAGTTATAATATTTAATTTATCTTTAAAAGATTTTGTTTTGCAAAATTTAAATATTCTTTAATTTTAATATTTGTTATTTGTTAAAAATTTTGTGAACATTTTGAGCTATAAAATATGATTTATTTCCTATTTTAAATCCAAGAAATTTATTGATCTCTTTTTACTTTGAACAATTTAAACTTGAATTTTATTGGAAAATTGATTATTTAAGTTTTAATTTTTGTAATAAAGAATTATTTTTCAATTTAATTCATGATTTCAATAAATATATTTTTGAAATATTATTATTAAATTGTTTTTCAAGTTTCAGAATTAACTGATTCTTTGATGCTTTTATAATATTATTTGCTTTTTTTGCTTCAATAATTTCTTCTTCTTCAAAGTTAAAAATAAAGTTTAAGTTGATAATATCTTTAAGTTTGAGATTATTTGTATCTGATATTATTATATTTACTATAAGTTATTTATTAATAGATAATTTATTTAATAATTAGATAAAATTAATTATTAGTTTTTTTAATATTCTAATTGACAGTTAAAACAATTTTGAATTATCAATTAGGAAGTTATTGATAATATTTAATTTTTGAACTAATTTATTAATTAGATGAAATATTAATTTTGAATATCAGCTTTAATAATAATTACTTTATAAATTATAAAGATAATTATAATTTGTAAATTGAATAATATTAATTTTTCAAACATTTTTCCAAAGCATTCTTTCATTTGGAATGAAATTCAAGTGAATAAAAATATGATTAAAAAAGAAATTAAAAAGTATAAATATATATATAGATAAAATAATAATTTTAAATTTAAAATTATTATATAAAAAATATAATATATTTTAAAAGAATAGGAATATTTATATAAAATTTTTAAAGAAAATTTGAATTAAGAAGAGAATTAAGATATATTATGAATATAATAAAAAATAAGATATAAAAAATAAAATTATTTATTAAATAATAATAAAAATTTAATTAAATCTATAATAACTTCAGGAATAAATAGAAGTTATCTTTTATAAAATTTTTTTAATTAATTACTATAGAATTTCTTTTTCAAAACTTGTTTAAGTTGATTGCATAATTTGTATATTTTATTGAAAAATATTTCATAAATGTAGAATTAATTTTTGTATCATGAAAATCAAAATTTATCATTATATTTCACATATTACTTTATGTTATATAATAGAATTTTATCTTCAATTTTGAATTAATTTACTTTTGGTAATTTACTATTGTTACCATTTTGATTAATTTTTAAAATACTCAAAGGTATTTATAAAAATTAAAGAAATATTCAAAGAAAACTTTTAATATCTTAACAACAATTTAAAGTATTAATAATATTTTATAACTAATAGACTGAATATAAATAAATACTAAAAGTACTATTAATAAAATCACTAAAGATTAATAACAGTTATTTTTTTAAATGTAATAATCTGAACTATTAAGAATTTTCAAAATCTCAAAGTTAAAGATATAAAGATTATAATATTTGTATTATTAGCAATACAAAATTGAAAATGAATTTATGAATAATGTATTATTAGCAATATAATTCAAAGATAGATTTATAGATTATAATAATAATTTATTTATTCATATAATATTTATTAGATTTTGTCACAAATGTATTTAAATAATCTAGTATTAAGATGATAATTTTATAGTACTTCTGACAAATGTGCTTAAGCTGCTATAATATTAATTCAAAATCTATATAATACTCATAACAAAAGTACTGAAGTGATTATACAAGAAACAAGAATATTTTGTCAAAGAAATGTAAAGAGGAGTTTGCGCTTGACTACTTACTCTATAATAAGTGCAAACTTTGCTCATTTGAATTATTAAAACTATATAATAACTAGTTATAAGATGATAATTAAGAATATTACTATCAAAGAACTTGTTCTAATCTAATTCTAATAATTATAATACATGTTACTTTTATACATTGTTATGACTGGAAATTTACATAATTTCTATAATTTACATAATTTACATAATTTTCATAATCTATATAATTTCTATAATTTCCATAATTTTTATAACTTTTATAATTTTCATAATTATCATAATTACTGTAATTATCATCATTTACAACAATTACTGTAATTATTATAATTTACATAGTATCTATTATTTATTAACTTATATGATTAATTATAAATATAACATTTATTAGTAGAAAAATATTTATTATAAATAAAGTGCAATTGAAACTTTGAAAAAGATATCAATTGATTAATACAAAAATCTAACTAGTCAATAAACTGTTTCTTGTTTATTGTTAATGAAATTTATACATTAATTAATTAAATAATAACTTATTAAAATACTTGTATTTATTGTGCACTATTGAATAACTACCAAAGTTGCTATAGAATATTAGTACTATATTGTTATAGAACTGTTCCACACTAAGTAGATATAACATCTATTAATAATAGTGAGAGTCTATTTAACAGATAGAAAAAAATATATTGCATGATGATTCTGAAGTATATTTATTATGAAGAGATTAAATAATTGTAAAAATTATCACCATCAAACATTGGTTGAATATCTATATTATGATTATATCTACCAGGAGTCTGATTGTAATAATGTGTTCAAACTAATGATTCTAATTGATTTAAATATTGTTGTATAATGGAATTTCACATTAATTATTAGTCAAAATTATCATTTAATCTTATTGGATAATTTTGAGA